CCTGGAGTCATGTGACTTCTGACTTTGTCCACACCAATCCAACACCGGCACCTCCACATCATGGTCCCCACAGGAGAACGGGATCTTTATTGGTTGGCAAGGCATTAGCACGGAGAAAACAGCAGGGAGCGATGGGCTCCCTATGCTCCCAGGTAATTCAATAAGGCCTGCCCAACCAGTCGACCACAGTTTGCAAACCTCAAAATATAATGTCTACTGTTCGATGTGCTTCTGTGATTAGACAACACTTGCTGAACAATCCTTAGTGCAGTATCAGCTACACAAACAGCCATTTTAAAATAATTAGTCAAACACATAATAATAGTTTCAAGCCTTACTTCTGTTTCGAAGTACCCGGAGTTATAGTTCCTTGTTGCTTTCTCCATGGCAATACCTTGGCCAATCAGAGTTGACTAGTCAACCAATCAGCACCCTTTTCTTCTGCAGCATTGTGTTCAATTGAAAGTTGGGATTCTTGCATTTGCCCCGATGAGTACGAAAGGAAAAGCTTCAGTAACGTGTCTTTTTGTTTCAAACAGTAAATTATTCTCTGTGAAGTCAGTTTCTTGAAGGCAAAGCAATTTGGCCTTTACCTCCCTCAACACTGATCAATAACAAATGTGACCCTGAGTTGCCTCCATCTTCCTAACAAAGAATGATAGAATCTCTACAGTGTGCAAAGAGGCCAGTAGGCCCATTGAGTCTGCACTGATCCTCCAAAGAGCATTCCACCCAGACCCAGCCCCACACCCTGTCCCCATAACCCTGCATTTCCCATGGCTAACCCAGCTAGCCTGTGCATCACTGGACACTATGGAACAATTTAGCATGGCCAATCCATATAACCTGCACATCTTTGGACCGTGGGAGGAAACCAGAGCACCTCGAGAGAACCCACGCAGACAACAGGGAGATAATGTGCAAACTCCACACAGGCACCTGAGGCTAGGATTCAAAAGTGCATCCCTGGTGCTGTGAGGCAGCAGTGCTAATCACTGAGCCACCATGCCACCCCATTTCACTTTGACATTAGTGCAAAAACCTAAATGTTTATACGATCATAAGGGGCGTGGATAAGGTGAATAGCAAAGATCTTTTCCCCAGGGTAGGGGAGTTCAAACCTAGAGGGTATAATTTTAAAATGAGAGGAGAAAGATTTAAAAGGGAGATGAGGGGCAACTTTTTCACACAGAGGGTGGGGCGTGTATGGAATGAGCTGCCAGAGGAAGTGGTAGATGCAGGTACAATTACAACATTTAAAAGACATTTGAACAGGTACACGAATAGGAAAGATTTAGAGGGATATGGGCCAAACACAAGCAAATGTAACTAGTTTGGGAAACTTGGTCAAGTTTCGACGAGTTGGACCGAAGGGTCAGTTTCCATGCTGTATGACTCTACGTTGGAGGTACAACCAAAATCAGTAATGTACACCTACTATAAATTTTATACAGTCAGGTATAACTGTTCTTTTATATTCTCTGAAGGGTAGGATTATCATCATCTCTGAGAATTGGGATTGGATCCAGTACAGACTTACAGGGCAAGAGACTCAATAAGTTAGCGGTGAGCGCTCAAGAACATGAGCCTCAATACACCCTCTGGAAGATGTTGCCATAGTCTTGCCAGATCATAAGGCAGCTCCCTCTTTAGAGACAGATGTCTGGTGGTGCTTTAACCTGAGGGTCACTAGATCTCAGGTGACGTGAGAGATTGAGAAGGAGAGTCCTTCATGGTAACCTCCACTGGTGCAAGAATTGAACCCAGACTGTTGGAGCACTCTGCATTGCAAACCAGCCATCAAACGGAGCTAACCTAATGCTCTGTATTATTGGGAGCCTAGAGAGAAAGAGAGCTGGAATAATTGAAGGAGTGGATGGATTGCAGTTATGAAGTGTGGCATGAATATTGGCCATGTTTTCATTTGAAAAGAGGATGAGATATAATACTATTTGGTCTTTTATGATTTTAAATGTTGTTGATCATAACAAGCTCATATATTCGCTTTCACAATCAAATTCTGCACTCATTCAATCAGTCTGGATCCTCATCAATGTATCCATATTGTAGTAGCAATATTTTTATTCCTTCAAAAGACGAGCAGAGAATACTTACTTCTTTTGAGAAGTTCTTTCAAAGGAATAAATGCTCTGTTCAGAACACATTTTGCACGATACAACCATGAAGTGATCTTTCTCAAAGTTACTTTTCTCATGTGAAAAACCTTAAGCAACTTTTAATGTTTTCTTTGCAATTTGGCAAAGTTTAAAATCACTGGGCTAACAATCCTGAGGCCTAGCCTAATAATCTGGTGTGTGTTACAGTGCTAGCGTTGAGGTGAAGTGGTAATATCCCTACCTCAGAGCCAGGGGACCTGTGTTTGAGTCCCACCTGCTCCAGAGGGATGTTATTAAAGATCTGAGCAGGGTGATCAGCAAATATGTATACTGTAGCAGGGAGCAGAAGTCAGTTTGTCTTCCACAATGGTTTGTTTGCATTTTTAAGGTCGGTACAAACTCCAGTCTGCTCTCTCCCCTTCCTCACCAACTCTGTGTGCTGGCGAAAACATGCCCTTCAATCTCTGCCCCAAGAGCATCGGTTGCTCTCCATTACTTCTGAGTCACTCTTAAGGGGACCATCATTGACAACATCGTCAAGGATATGGGTTCAGTTTTGACTGCACTAGCTGATGAAGCTCGAACAGAGTCAGTTAGTCTGGAATATATAGTGGTGGCCATGACAGCTACTGTTCAAATTCCATCTGGAGTTACTAATGCCCTTTAGGAAAGGAAATCTTCCATCCTTACCGGGTCTGGCCTACATGGGACTCAAAACCACAGTGATATGGTTGGTGTTGTAGAACAGAGGGACATTGGGGTTTAGGTACATGATTCTTTGAAGTCTGCGTCCCATATAGACAGGGTGGTTAAAAAGGCATTTAGCACGCTTGCCTTCATTGCTCAGAGCTTTGAGTATAGGAGTTGGGGACATCATGTTGAGGTTGTACAGGACGTTGGTGAGGCCTGTTCTGGAGTACAGTGTCCAGTTCTAGTCGTGCTGCTATAGGAGACATATTATTAGGCTAGAGAGGGCTCAGAAGAGATTAACCAGGATATTGTTAGATATGGAAGGTTTGAGTTATAAAGAAAGGCGGGATAAGTTGGGACTTCTTTCACTGGCGTGTACGAAGTTGAGAGGTGACCCTATAGAGGTTTATACAACCATGAGGGGTATAGATAAGGTTAATTGTAGGTGTCTTTTCACTAGGGTTGGGGATTTCAAGACTAGGGGGCACGTTTTTAAGGTGAGAGGAGAGAGATTTAATAAAGACATGAGGGGCAAATTTTTTAAATAAAGTTGTTCGTGAGTGGAATGAGCATCCTGAGGAAGCGGTGGATGTGGGTACAGTTGCAACGTTTAAAAGACATTTGGATAAGTACATGAATAGGAAAGGTTTGGAGGGATATGGGCCAGGAGCAGGCAGTTAGGACAGGTTTAGGTTAGGATTATGGTCAGCATTGACTGGTTGGACCGAAGGGTCTGTTTCCGTGCTGTATGACTCAATGACTCTTAACTACCACCTGGAATGGCCATCAAACCATCAGTTCAAGGGCAATTAGGGACGGGCAATTTCTGCTGGCTTTGCCAGAGATGCCCACATCCCCTGAAAGAATAAAAAGAGTCAGAACTCTACACAATATTTCACTAGTAGCTTAACCAATGGACTTGTTAAGTGTCTGGAATACTTCATTTCTGCAGCTCAATATTGCTCTTCTAACATATCGTAGAAGGGTTTTGGCTAAAAGAAAGTCCCTGCTCCTTACAAACATGACTGTTACATATTTCACATCTTCACCTTTCTACATCTATAGTTTCCTCAATATTACCTTAGTCAGTTGACTCTCTCCAATCACCTCAGTTAAGGTAAGACAAACCAACCTTTCCTTATTTTTTTTTATCCTCCTAGCCTGGCATTTCCCCTTTAGTTGCCTGTATCACTTTAAATTTGACCGAAACACTATTTTCCACATCCGAGTGGTCCTCACATACATTTACACTTGACCTTACATTTCTGTGCAATTATATTGAGCTGACCATGGAGAATTGAGAGCTAGCAAGACACCTCACTTTTTAAAAAATTCATTTGCAGTGTGCGTCACCAGCTAGATCAGCATTTATTGCCCATCCCTAATTACCCAGAGGGTAGTTAAGAGTCAACCACATTGCTGTGGGTCTGGAGTCACATGTAGGCCAGACCAGGTAAGGATGGCAGTTTCCTTCCCTAAAGGACATTAGTGAACCAGATGGGTGTTTTCCTAACAATCAGCAATGGATTCATGGTCATCATTAGATTCTTAATTCCAGATATTGAATTCAAATTCCACCATCTGCCATGGCGGGATTCGAACCCAGATCCAGTACGTTATCCAGGTCTCTGGATTAACAGCTCAGCAATAATTTCACTAGGCCATTGACACCCCTGTCCAATATGTTGCTGCATTTGGAAACAGCAGAGTAGTGGTAATGTCATTGAGCTAGTAATCTAGAAGACCAGGTTAAAGCCCTGAGACCATAGGTTCAAATCTTACCATTGCTATTGGTGGATCTTAAATCCAATTAATAGAATAATGTGGCTGTGACAGCTATTGTTATAAATCCCATCTGGTTCACCAATGCCCATTAGGGAAGGAAATCTGCTTTTCTTACCTGGTCTGGCCTACATGTGACTCCAAACCTAACATGATGTGGTTAACTGTTAAGTGCAATTAATGATCAATCTTGCCTTACCAGAGATGCCCAGATATATGAAGAATGATCTTGGAAATGTAATGGTTTGTGATAAGGGTTAGTTCAGTGTAGAGGATGTTTCTGTTTTTCCTCTCTCATTAATCCATGATTATCCATTGAACCTGTGCTTGCAGACAGGGCTGGTTCCCAAGCTCATTCGTGAGGCCTTTGGAAGAAGAGATACGAAGGCAGGAACCATCAACCAGGTAATTATATAAGTGGGCTTTACTGGGGAAGAGTTTGAGTGATGCATTAATCATGTAGATACAGCTACAAAACATCTCCTGCACTGCCATCGAATTGGATGACACAATTTGACACTTGTTGCATCTCAGGCCAAATGAAAACCAATTGTGGCCACATTTTCTTGGCGAGGGACTAAAGAACTGAGCTAGTTCAATCCCTTTGGCCACTTATTATTGCATTGTTACCAATAGCGAAGGTCCCTGTGGATTATTGTGAAAGGATGGATTTGTTCCCCAAGCTTTTGTGTCTTGCCCTCATCAGGACAGATTCAAGAATGCCACATTTCAAATGATCACAACAATTTATACTATAGGTTAAAAAAAAGGGTGTTGATTAGTTGACAAGTGAAATCTGATTGGCTGAGGTGTTGCCATGGAGAACGTAGTAGAGAGTGATCGGCTACCCAAGCTCAGGATGTAAGATTTGAACATATTCCTTTTGTTTGCAGAGAATGTGTCTCTACAAATTAATGTACATCTCTTACAGCAAACAGAAATGAGCACAATGATGAGCTCTCAATGATTATCTCATATTTGTAGCCATTGGCATACTTAGGATTGTTCATCAAGTGTTGCCCAAACTGAAGACTCTCATCCAACATTGGCATTTTGTTTTGTGTTTGGCAAGCATGCACTGGTTGTATGTTTATTGACTTACCCAAGTGTTTGCAGAAGACTATAGTTCCCTGTTGTTCCCTCCATGGCAATGCCTTGGCCAATCAGAGCTGACTTGCGAACCGATTGGCTTCCCTGTGGTATAAATTATGAGTTTTTTGAAATTTGGTATTCTTGCATTTGTCCTGATGAAAGCAAGTTGGAAAACTTTGAACACAAGTCTCTCCTTTCAACAACGCTCATGTTCCGTAACAGCAAATTTGCATCTGTTGACCACATTAATTCCCGAAACTTGAACAAGGGATACAGCTCCCGGTGGAGCATACATACCCAATTACAAATTGTGACCCCAAATGGCACTCAGACCTGATAGTCTGCTTCTCATATTTCTTAAGAGGTGCTATCAAGACAGATTGCGATTGGCTAATAGGGAAGGGGAAATGGTAAGGGGTTGAAATCTTGACTCCTTCATCATGAGTGAGAAATGTCTTAGTTCAAGATAGACTGTACGCTATACAGAGGCTCACCTCTTTAGGATTCACGAGGATGTTGCCGGGGTTGGAGGGTTTGAGCTATAGGGAGAGGCTAGGTAGGCTGGGGCTATTTTCCCTGGAACATTGGGGGCTGAGGGTGACCTTATGGAGGATTATAAAATCATGAGGGGCATGGATAAGGTAAATAGTCAAGGTCTTTTCTTCAGGGTAGGGGAGTCCAAAACTAGAGGGCATAGGTTTAAGGTGAGAAGAGAAGGATTTAAAGGGGATGTAAGGACAACTATTTCACACAGAGGGTGGTGTGTGTATGGAATGAGCTGCCAGAGGAAGTGGTGGAGGCTGGTATAATTACCACATTTAAAAGGCATCTGGATGAGTACATGAATAGGAAGGGTTTAGAGGGATATGGGCCAAATGCTGGCAAATGGGACTGGATTAATTTAGAAACCGAAAGAACTGCAGATGCTGTAAATCAGGAACAAAAACAAAGTTGCTGGAAAAGCTCAGCAGGTCTGGCAGCATCTGTGAAGG